CTTTGCAGCTCCCTTAGGCAAAGTATTTATGGTATACACTTGACTTTTCATCTGCAGTGGTAGTACCATCAAGGTAGTTTCAACCACCTTGTCTTTTCATATAGAATCATAGAATCATTAAGGTTGGAAGAGACCTCCAAGATCATCGAGTCCAACCGTCAACCCAACAACACCATGCCCACTAAACCATGTCCCTAAGCGCCTCATCTACCCGTTTTTTAAATACTTCCAGGGATGGTGACTCAACCACTTCCCTGGGCAGTCTGTTCCAATGTTTAACTACTCTTTCAGTAAAGAAATTTTTCCTTACCCGGCACAACTTGAGGCCATTTCCTCTCGTCCTTTCGCCAGTTACTTGGGAGAAGAGACCGACACCCACCTCGCTACAGCCTCCTTTCAGGTAGTTGTAGAGAGCGATGAGGTCTCCCCTGAGCCTCCTTTTCTCCAGGCTAAACAACCCCAGCTCCCTCAGCCGCTCCTCAGAAGACTTGTTCTCCAGACCCCTCACCAGCCTCGTTGCCCTTCTCTGGACACGCTCCAGCACCTCAATGTCCTTCTTGTAGTGAGGGTCCCAAAACTGAACACAGTATTCGAGGTGTGGCCGCACCAGTGCCGAGTACAGGGGCATGATCACTTCCCTGCTCCTGCTGGCCACACTATTTCTGATACAGGCCAGGATGCCGTTGGCCTTCTTGGCCCCCTGGGCACACTGCCGGCTCATGTTCAGCCGTCTGTCGACCAGCACCCCCAGGTCCTTCTCCGCCAGGCAGCTTTCCAGCCACTCTTCCCCAAGCCTGTAGCGCTGCATGGGGTTGTTGTGGCCGAAGTGCAGGACCCGGCACTTGGCCTTGTTGAATCTCATACAGTTGGCCTCGGCCCATCGATCCAGCCTGTCCAGGGCCCTCTGCAGAGCCTTCCTACCCTCAAGCAGATCAACACTGCCGCCCAACTTGGTGTCGTCTGCAAACTTACTGAGGGTGCACTCGATCCCCTCATCCAGATCATTGATAAAGATATTGAACAAGACCATCTTTCCTTCTACTTTGTTATCACGTTATCATAAACTTTTTTACATGTTCTATGCAATTTCTCTCATTCTTTCATTACAAGAAATAGAATTTAACTTATTTAGCTTTAATTTGTGGAGCCCAGGTAATGATTTTTGGTATTTAAGGCTACATCTTCTGAAATAACATCTTTGTGGAAAATCTTGGTGATTCAGCCTTTTGGTCATGTGGTTACACAAGTCTAGTATTTATTGTTTGTGAGCTCTTACACGAACTCGAGTGGTTTGTAGTCTTATGACTTTAGTGTTATAGGTCCTGTATTCAGTTGCTGCTGATATGTTGCTGCACAACTGCAGAATGCACTCCAACCATGCACAGATGGCCTTGGTTCATATTACATTGTTTTATCTTGTCTTTATACATGCCACAAAGATTTCCCAAGTCTTAAACAACTGCTGTGTGTCAATCAGCCACTTTTATTTAGCAGGTAACTTTCTGTCAACTGTACTTTCCTGTACTTATCTGAGCACTCTCTGGCTGACCTATTGGCAGGGTTGATTCCCCCCCCTCCCCCCTTCCCCCTTTTCCGTTCACATGGGTGTGATTCACTAGGTTTTACATGGGTATTGAGTATTGGACTTCCAGCAGAGGATATTTCACAGTAACTCAGTGCAGCAGACATCATCGGAGGCTATACGTTTGGTAAATGTGAGTGTAGTAAAATATCTTATTTGTGATTTGATGTTGAACTAATTCTTAATTACTGATTATATAAAATGTTGAACTCTGTTTTGCATTCATGACAGGTTGGTTATGTAAAAATGTGTTGGCAGTAATTTAACTCACTGTGCCTGTAAGGCTGGCGGGGAGCAGTTACACAAGTGGTTGCAGGTCTGTTTCTTAAACCTAGCATAGGAAAATAGCAAATGACGGCAGGAGAAAGGGTGCAAAATCTACCTGACTAGACGGTCTTCATCACTAGGTTTTGTCATTAAGAGGATCTTTTCCTGCCTAGCAGTGTGCTGTTCTTCCCTGAATACTTGATGTTCTAGGTGCAGGAAAGTCTCCCCTACCATTGTGTGTGAGCCAGAGACATACTGGGGAAGGCCTGTGGGCTCTCCATTGAGAAAACTCATTTAATGGTATGTAATGGAGTTTTAACATTAATGGAAACGTAGCCGCCAAGGCTAAAGATTTTGGATTCTAAAGTACAATATAAGACTTGGCTCTGCAAGTGGAGTAACAACCCAGGCAGAATGGCTGGCAGTATGATTGAGGATGCATAGCTGAGGTCAAAGGATTATCTAGACAGACGTACAGAAATGAATGTTGGTTACTTATGAGGATTCCTTATTTTCATTATAGTACTACAAAAGTTAATAAGGAATGAATTTCAAGACCATATGGACTGACTGACCGACCAACTTCTAATACAAAGGGCCTAAGTTAAACTGAAGATGCATGTTTTATAAACACAGAGGGCGGTTTTGGGGTATGTGGGGGTGTGGTATTTTTTTAATGAAAGGAGAAGGCTTGAAAAAATTACATTGAGATGTTAGGAAAGATGGAAAGAAATGTTAGGACACAGAAATTCTAAAACAATTAAAACTAGTTAGGAGAGGAAAAGGGAGTAAAGTCACCATATCTTTAAGGGCATTATGTACTTACACAGTGCCACTGTGTAGGTACACCTACAGGTGCCACTGTAAAACTTAATTTGCCTGAGACTCCTGTTCGTGTATAAGTTATGCACTCAGATGTGCATATTTAAAGCCATTTCTTAGAGGTCTTGAATCTTAGTTGGACCTACTATAAACTGGTAAAAAGCTAGTGAGAAAAGTGTATTCTGAGTCGAGTTAAGATATTCTTCTGTTGATCAATGCTGGTAAGGTGTGGAGTGAGGTTCTGCATATTCTGTTCTTCAGTGTTCTTGTTGACCCTCTGAAACAGGGAATAAGGACCAAGCATAGTGAATTTATAGGTGATTCTAGTTAAGCAGGGCCTTGCAGCCATGCTAAAGGACATGATTAAAACATAGGAAGAGCCTGATACATAGGAAAACAGTATAAATAATAGGATGCAATTCAGTGTAGACTGGTGCAAGGTTATACATTTAAGCAGAAACAATGAGTAAACACAGGATGAAGAACAGGATGCTAGCTAAATAAGAGCATTAAAAAAGGATCTGGAAGTCATGGGTCCTAGGCTGAAAATATATCAGTGTTACTATATGGCTGACATGAAAAGAAATATGGCTGAAGAGTTTGAAAAGGTTTTTTCCACTCTAGCCATTTTCAGCTAGAGTCCTGTGTCTACCCTTAGGCACATAATTTCAGAAGGAGTCAAGGAACAATTGGTGAAGAGGAACCAAAAGAAAGCAACAAAACAGATCTTGAAAAATTAACCTGTGAGGAGAAGACAGAAAAACTTACGTTTGTTTAGCCCAAAGAGGGACCTGCTAATTAGAGATCTACAGATTGTCTTCAAATACGTAAAAAATTCCTGAAGCGAAGGACTTTTTTTTTTTATCCATGGTAAGATAAGAAGCAGTAGGTTGAAGTTGAAAAGATGATTCAGGTTAGACATTAAGAAAAACACTCTAATGATGGGTAGCTAAGAAGTAGATTATATGGGGAGGCTGTGTAAAGCATTTCTGGAGGCCTTTAGGAGTAGGCAAGACAAGAATAGTGCAAATAATCATCTGTCCTAGGATGGAATAATGAAACAGATGATCTCTTCAGGCACCTTTCAGTCCTGTTTGTTAGTCTGTCTTTGTGATTCTCTCAATTCCTTTCAAAAATATCAGAGACAAGGGTGCTCAGTTCCTCACAGCTCGGCTCATAAAGATGCCACGCTTACATCTAGTTCAGCACTTTATGCCTTGAAAAGTGTCTTTTAGCTTTTGGTTGGATAAATATTTGATTTCTTGATTTGCATTAATGAGCACCATGTTTATTTTCTTCATCTGTTTTACATTTGGGCCTGCAGACCTCAGTGGAGATCAAGAAGCCATGAATATATTTAATATTAAAAAAAAAAAAACCCTATTCACAAATATTCAGTTGAAAAAGACAATTGGGGGGGAGGATTATAATTATATTGGTGGCATTGTACAAGCACCTATAAATGAGTAGTCAGCTGCAGACTAGTGTAGTTGAAGAGAACTCAGCGAAGCTGGATTCTTGTGTTAGCTGAAAAACGAGCCAAAGTGTTTTATTCCCTGGCAGAAATGCATTGCCTGCAGAGGAGCTGGGAAATGAACTGCTGAGGGCTCATGTTACTTTCGATGCTTTAAGCAAACAGCTCCATTCCCAGCTACACAATGTTTTAGTATGCAGGATGAAGCTATGGGACTCTTCGAAACTTTTTAAAATAAATATGCAGATTTTTTTTTTTAATTGTGGTGTTTGTCTCTGGAGTATTAAAATTCATAGGAAATGGGACATAATAGTTAGAAACAGGCTATATTTTAGAAGGACTCGCTCCTTAGAGCCATTTAGAAATCTGTAAGTGATTATGTAGCTAGAGTATTTCCTGGTAAGAATTTGATAATTTAAATAATTTGTTAATTGCTAACAAAAAAATTATACTTTTCTTTCAGTAATTTCTAGGAATAGTATAATACATATGACATTTTTTACCATTTTAAAATAAACACCAAGATTCCTTGACTTTGGCAAAAGACTGTTGAGACCAGATATTTCAAATTAAATGTTTTTTGTCTTGATAAGATGGCATTTCCCAATGAAACAATAATTTGCTAGAAAATATCAAATCTATTCCTATACCATTCTTGGTTGCTGGAAATGAGAAAGTATTCAAAATCGAGCTAAAAAAGGTACATACGAAAGGGTTAATCCATATGAAATAAACAGTTTTGATCTGTAGACACATTTTTGCATGGTTTTTTGCATTATAACAACCACTCAATTTATATCAATTTTTATTAACTATTGCTTGAAATTTTATTATTAACTGTAACTTTTTCCCCAGTCACAGGTGAATCATCATTCATCTAATAATGAAACCTATCAAGAAAGATTGGCACGTTTAGAAGGTGATAAAGAGTCGCTCATACTGCAGGTATGTCTTAAAGAGAACATTGTCTATGTAGTTGATATTCAGTGAATAAAAGCTGAAGTGACAGCATATTTTCTGTTAAACAAATGTTAGCTTGTCACCATATGTAACTGATTTTTAGTCAGGAATTAATTTATAATTTGTCTAATCCATCTGATTGGTTTCGTGGTGGGGTAACTGGGTAGAGGGGACAGGAGTAACAGCAGTAAGAGGGAAAAGAATGACAAAGGAAAAAAAACGAACTTAAAAATAATGCTGTGAAGTCCCAAGACAATGCTGTGGTAGTGGTTCTCAGTCTAGGTTTGCTAGGTTGTACCAGTTGATTTTCTAGGTTCTGTGTGCCACCATTTTTAATTAACTGGAAGACTGGCAGGTAGATAGAACTGATATTTTTCCTGCTTGTATACTGTACCAAAGTTGCTTTACATCATCAAAAAGCTTAAGGGGGTGGTAAAGGGGGAAAAAGAAAATTTGACAGTAAAATGCATGCCTAAGCTCTTCTAGGTTTCCTGTTTCTCAGTTTACCAAGCCTTTTTCAAACAGATCCCCTGAACCATATAAGTTTTCCTCCTGGAGAAAACATGTTGTACAACTTAAAATAAAAATCCTTAATTATTTTTTCCTGGATATTTTCACTATTACTAAACTGTACATTACATGCTTTTTAAAACTGAAGCTGGAGATTCTTTAAATGGTCTTTGCATATCCTTTCTCTTTATGTTTACAAAAGCATATTATAAGCATATATATTTATAGCAAACAAAACTTAACTATACTGGGTAGGTGTTCTCCCTACTTTCAGTTACTAGTTTCTGTAAGCATGTTTTATCCTGTATGTTCTGTTCACACTTGTGTTAATTTACTGAGCAGAATTCTCACTGCTGTTAAGTAAACAATAAATGGTTTGTGAGACATAAGCTTAGGCTTGGTTGGATTTTTTTGTTACTGTTAAACTAGAAGTGCTGTTACCAAGTTTAGAAAAAAAAATCCTGAATGAAAAATAAACTTCTGGTGGGAATGTAAGTGTTGAAGTGTGTGCTGCAAACTCCCTTTTTTCTGAGAGGGAATCAGGTCAGGGGAGACAACATCACAACTGATATTTATTAGAACACCTTTTATTGATCAAGTGGTTATTATCTGTAACATCTTGATTCTATTAATAATAGCAAACAACTTTTCACACAGTACATTCACTTCTCACACAGTTCACTCGCACACATGCATGCGCATTCATAATTGGAGCAACGATTAGGAGGCCAAACCCAGCTGTTTACTCAGAAGCAGAGGGCTGTAGTGATGCACCTGTGGCTTTGTCCCTGAAGGCCTCCTTTGTTTCATCACATGAGCGTATAGTCCTGTAATCTTTGTCTGCATATAGCAGCCGCTGTTGCCTTGGATGTGGTTCATGCTATGCAGCTGGTTGTTGATGCTCATGCGTGCTGGTGGGCTTGTGCAGATTTGGCAGAATCTTGGTGTTCAAAGTGTTTCAGCTTTTGTGGACTTAACGGGACCACTTAGACCGGCAATCAAGAGGCTTAGTCAGTATTTATGCATTTTCCTATCCCACTGCACAGTATTGCAGTAGAACTCCAAAAACCCCAGGCAAATAATATAGATGAAAACCTCAGTCTGATAGATGAATATCAACAAGACAACAAAAAAAAAAAGGTGCCAAGATGGAGCTGGGGTTAGAACCTGGTTTACATTAGTTCTGCATATTCTATCTAGGCAGTCGAATATGAGGAACACATATGAGCAAGTCCCGTGCTGAGGTTACACTGGCCTGAGGGAACCTGCTGGTACAAACCTGGCTCCTGGGTGTGACCATTGGCACAAAGGATGAGAAAGTGATGGGAAACAGAGCACCTCTATTCTATAGTTCATGGTGCATTGTGGCAGTGACTGTGGTCCATAGCTGTAATCTATAATCTATAGGGAATATGAGGCTGGGAGCACTCCAGTCTTGCATCAGACTTGCTGCAGAAGCAGCAGTACAAGGCACCTTGTAGTGGGCACAGTTATTGCCCACTATCTCTGTCCACCAAGGCTGAGTCAAATAGTGCACCTTGAAAACCTGCTTCCACTCTTCAGTCTGTAGTGGAGGCTGGAAATGCTGCAGCGTCTGAGGTACCTTCTTATAGCTCAGTGTCTGCGCATAGGAGCTAATATACTTCATTAGGTGTTTGGTTTGTTTGGGTTTTTTTCCACAAAGATGTTTTAAACCCTTATACCACTTGATTTTTAGCTAATTGTTCAAAATGCCTCACTTCTATAGATATTTACAGAAAATGTATTATCTACAGGCTGACTCTTGCGGGTATTGCACTGTTAAGGCAAGATGGACTTGCCAGCGTAGCATATGCTGGGGTTCTGTTCTGTCTGCAGCCTACTGATTCCCTGGAGAGTCTGGCAGATGGGATCCTGGACAGAGGGGAAAATATGAGCTCAAAGTGGCTAATGTGCCTCTCAGCCTAACTACTGGAACATCCAACACATGCTTCTAAAGCTGCTAAGGTTTTACTAAATTCCTTTGCAGGTCACATTTAACATACAGAGTTTTCCTTACAGGTTACAATGCTAGTTGGAACCTAACCCGACCCTTTAAGTAGAGCTTGTTTTCTTTCTTTGGAACCTGCATCAGACTGAAGGAGAGGATTCAGTTTGTTTCTTCTGGCTTTCTGGGGGTTTTTTGTGTGTGTGTGCCATCACTCATTTAATGGGAGCAAAACAAAAAAGTAGACAAGCAACAGACTTCCTTGCGGGGAGTTTTTGTCCAGCCCCAGCTTGGATGTGTCCTCCTGCCATCTGCCTCCACCTACTCCTTCCTGTCATCTCTCATCCTGCTTTCATCTGTACTCTACCCTACAGCCAACTACTTTAAAGACAAAAAAATAAAAGTCCTATTTTTTTTCTTTTTCTATGTTCCTTTCCCAGGCATGCTTGTCATTATATTTGCAGGTAAAACAAATACAGATCATTCAGTCGCTCCCTCTGCAGCTTCCCTGAAGTGAACTCAGTTGTTCATTGATTGGGTTTTAGAAATGCTGCATAGTGGGTACATCTTAAAGCTTTCACTTCCACATACTGGACCTTTTTTTTTTTTTTTTTTTTTTAGTTTAAATAAAGGTGTTGCAAGGTTGGATATGAGAGCATAGATAAGTTTTTGTTAACGCATTTCATTCAAACTGGAGTTTAAACACCTAAGGTTGCTTTTTTGTTTGAGATAACATTTTTCTAGTATAATCAAGGCTTTTATATACAAATAGTAACAATGAACATACAGAGTGTATGTGCTGCTTAACATAGGAATTAACACTGGGTTTTTTTCCACATCTTTCTAATGTTATCCTGAGTGTAGTTTCTTTTCAGCTTTGCAAGCTTTGAGTTAGGCTGCTGGGCTTTTCTTATTACACACCCACTGGTCTGTACCACCATTCCCACATTTCTTTACCAGTATTGCTTATTGTTTCTTTTCCTGGGATTCATTGTCTGTATCTCACTTCTTTTGCTTTCATGTTTTGGCTTGCAAAGCCTGGGAATTTTTCTTGGAATAGAACTTTGCTGCTGCTAAAACATGCCTTTTAGTCATTGCATTCTTTATAACTTCAGAATGCTGTATTGATAGGTAAGCTGTTTTTCTGTTCTTGTAAGAAGTAAAGTAATTGGTTGGTTTCCGAATGAACAGTTTTATTGTTTATCCGTTTTAGGGAGTGAAATGCCAGCGGAACCTGAAATGGCAATGCATGCTCCAAAACCACTTAAAATATTTTCAATATCTTGTGTTCTTGTTTGGTGCTTTCTAATTTTTCAGGTTTTTGCATGAACTGACTCAGGCTACCTATAGGTAATCGTCCGTCTCTTCTAGAAATGCTCTCTCTTTTTTATATTAAAACAAAACAACTTGGGGGGGGGAAGGGGAGTCAGAGGGTGGGGTTGAAGCAAAATCTAGGTAAGACTGAAAAATTGTCTGTCTTGGTAGAGCAGGTTGCAGCAGTGCACAAGAATATTAAACCATTGAGGACTTTAAAAGAGAACTTGCTGTTAAAATGTGCATTTGGATGTTAATTGTATAAGGTAATTGAAACTTATTTAGTCAGTTCAGTAGCATTGTGCTTCTCTTCTCAAATTACAGGTGAGCGTTCTTACAGACCAGGTGGAAGCTCAAGGAGAGAAAATCCGGGACTTAGAAATCTGTCTTGAGGGGCATCAGTTGAAACTGAATGCTACAGAGGAAATGCTTCAACAGGTAAAAATCTGGATTGGAAAGCTTCTTGCATAATCTTCTCCAACGGAGGGGTGAACATACATGGTCCTCTTGTCTGCATGCGTGAGTGCCTTTGGCAACAAGATAAAACAGGGGAAAAAAAAGCCTATTTTATTGTTCTCTTGCTGCTTTGTACTACTCCCCCCCCACCCCCCTTCAATAAATGTTTCTTTGTTTTCCAGTTGCAGAAGCGTTTTACTGGCTGGTTGCATAATACTGCACATGGCAGCATGTAAAATGAAACTATTGTGTCTTATTTGTACTGTGCTGACGAAGTAAATTTAGACATGGTTGAGTAACTGGTTAGACAGGTTAAAAGTATCTAATATATGTAGGAGTTAAAGAATTAAGAGGTTTTATTTAAATATGTTCTGTTTTCATATGGCGTTGAAGCTGAACAGGTAGTAAGTTGAAATGGATTACTGCATCCAAATTTGGTCCTATATCCATTTTTGCTTAATTTAGGAGCTTTCCCCTTATTTTTGAAAGAAAATTAGTATATAAAGACATATTTTTCTATATTTCAATCCCCAGTTTTAGGCTATGTGTTTTTATTTTTGCTTTTTCATGTTATATGTTGAGGGAGCAGAACAAATGATAAATACCTTACATTTCATGTGTTACTGCAGAGCTGGCAGGTCTGTCAATGCAAAAGAACTTTCCTGGTGCGATTTTCTGTTATTACAGATGCAGATCATCCACTGTTAATACAGTACATAGGTATCAAAAATAGATTTGAAACTGTAAATAACCCTCAAAATCTACACCAGAAAGTTGCAGGATAGATACTGTTCTTGATGAACTTACTTCCTCTCCCTACCCAAAATGTTGTGTTATAAATTTACTATTTTAGTCTATGTGGTATATACAAGTCTTTCTATGAACTATTCATAGCTTTAAATTATAGTTGTGTTAATCTAGATAAACTTATAAATTACAGTTGTGTTAACCTGTATAAACTTACTTTACTATGATAAGGATCCATATACATATATATGTTAACAGTAGCAGTTTCTATAAGATGAACTTGTAACCTAAACCTTTTAAAGTTATAATTCTCCAAGCTTCTCTAAAAAAAAATTGGTCTTACACAACTTTTGCAGCCCAAAATGCTTCTAGCTGGGAAAAGTTTTATTCTCATACTTAAATAAGGGGACACTTTTATAAATGCAAATAGCGAGTGCATTTAGTTTTTCAGTAAGAGCTGAAGTGAAATGCAAAGAACAGTAACGATTTAAGTTATGAAAATCTGTTTTCAAACTTCAGGAAGGCATTCACAATAGAGTGTAGAAGTTTCCTGTTTCAATCTAAAACTAGATAGTTGTTCTGTGACTTCTGCTAAAACTGTTTATTGTTTCTCTAACTTAAAATTTTCTGCTCTGATAGTCTTCTGAGGAAACTGTGAATTTAAAGCCTGATTTAAGAGAACACTGAGGCATCTGAAAATAGAATATAATAATGCATGTACATTGCTATTTCAGTGAAAACGTTTGGATCTACCCGTCTGGCATTAGGCACGTGCACAAATTGATTACAAAGCTGATCCTAAAGTGATAAGCTACAAAAGTCTGTACTAAAGCTAAGGAAGTCGGAGAATTTCCAAATATGTGTAATATAAACCTTAAATCTAAATTTTGAGATCACTTTGAGCGGCTGTAATTGTTGCCAAATGGGAGTAATTTCAAATCTATTTGCTTTCCTGTACACATATTAAATAGTTAGCAATAAGCTCAAATTTGTTGATTGCTTTGTATCATTGTTTTGAGCTCTTGCATTTGAACATAACTTACAGAAATACTGACAAGCTTGCTTGTTGATTGCTAAATTTCTAAGTGACTGATCTCTCATGCTTACAGAGTATATGATAGCTTGAGTTTGGTGTGGTTTTTTTTTTAAGAGAAAGAATTATGTAGGCCACAACTTGGTAAAGACTTATGTTTCATTTTAGTCCTATGAGTTTGTCCGTTTGAACTTTACACTGAGACAGACACGTACACAAACACATATGCTTAGTATTTTAATTTTAGTGTAAGTGATGTACTTTCAATTGCGGAACCAAAATTAAAAAATAAATTCAATGTGGAACTGATATTTAAATTTTTTTTTCTCACTGGAATGAGAAAAAATGATGTTGAGTTTACATTTTAGTTTTGTGAGCAGTAAGAAGAGCAAATTAAGTGAAATACTAGGGGATGATGATGGAATGGTAGTTGTGGTGTCTTTCTCACATGGATTACATACCCCAGTAGACAGTTAGATATGGGAAACCCAAGATAGATCTCTCAAAATCTCAACAGTCAGAGAAATTATACATTTATTATGGCTCAGCAGAGAACCCTATTTGTCTGTAATTTATTTTGAAGGTTCTTTTCTCAGTTTATCTTGTTGAAAAGATTACCCTCTACAGGGAGTGAGTTGAGATTTGGAGAGAAGAGAATTACCTGATAATGTGATGATTAGTACGTTCATGTAATATATGTGGTCAACAGGCCTTCTTGCAGTTAATTTGTCAAAAGTAGAGTGAGTATCTGGCCTCAGGGACTTCAATAGACTGATGGATCAATCAGGTTTTGGAGAAAGTTGGGTTAAGATCTTCCCAGCCAGCAGTTGCCAGTGTCCTGTACAAGTGCTTAGCAACGAGACAAAAGATACCAGTGTTGTCACTGAGTTTTTCCAGTCAAAACTATTTAGTGGATCTTTCAAGACAATCTTTACTTATTTTTACAGTAAACTAACATTTTTAATAAGAAAAAATCATCTAGCTCTATGTACCTATATGAATATTCTTGTTTTGCAGAAAGACTTCTGTTATCTTCCTGAGGTGTGTGTAAATCCAATTTTATTTCATGGTTCTGCTTGCTTATTTACAACAGACTGAACTCCACTGTTTTTTACCTTTGTGAACTTAAGTCAACTGCTTCTTCTAAATGGAAAATGGAACGATAAAGATAATTGCCCTAGCTTGAAAAATCTTTAATGTATATTAGTAAAACTGCAGTATGGATAAGCATATTATTTACTTATCTGGGAAACTATATACCTGAGTCCAGGATAAGCCCTGACTCTAATTTTGGGAACTATAAGAAAAGTGACTCAATTAATTCTGTGCCCAAAATGCTACAATAAAAACAAAAATTATACACTTTGTTAAGATAATTTAATGACCATATCTGCTAGTTCCACAACAGAAAGGGTATCTAATGCTACCCTGCAAAATAGTTTTTGCTGAATCTATGCTAGCAGAGACTTGTCCACTTTGTCAGGGTGGGGTTACTGGCTAAAATCCTTCTGGCTTATGATTTACGCATAGTTGTTTCGAACCCTGCTACAAAGTGGTCATGGAAACACTTTTGAAACAACAGCTAAAATAAACTTTATACGAATTACATAAATGGCTGTTCAGCATTTGGTGGGCATCTTGAATGTGGAATAGTAGCAACAGACACTGCTGCTTTCTTGCAGAAGATCGTGATTCTTCATCACTCTAAGAGGACAGTGCAATATCCTTTAGTCGACGTGTGAACTTTCAAGAAATGAGTTGAGCCAATATAAAAGGTTACTGCTACAAAAAGGAGAAGGCCTCATTCTCCTTTCATCCTTCTCCCTGTTCCTGACCATGTACTTCTGCAACTTATTTTATACCCACTCTCATGCTCATCTGACTTTTTCCTCAATGGCTGGGACAAAACTAACTTGGGGTTTAAAAAGAAGGAGATGTTTTTCTGCTGGATTAGTGAGTTGCACCAGCTCACAGAAGAGGTCAAGGAGTGGCGTAAGGGCAATGGTGAGATGTGCGTTTGACCTAGCTGTTTATGAAGCCACAGCCAAAGAAAATATGGCTCAGCAGCGTTTGAGAAGCGAGAGAATCCTGTGTAACAGATGCAGAGATGCGCTGGTGTGCACAGTTACAAATAATGCGTGTATGTTTTAATGAGATGTGATGCTTACGGTGTCAAACTCAACATTTTGCTTTTGTAAGGATACTTGTTCCACTACAGATTCTAATCAAGTAAAAGCATTTTTCTCCTTGAAGGTGTTTGCATTTTCTTTCTTTAAAACAAAGTAGGTCTTTCAAAAACTCATGAAACTCAATGGCAAAACTTTAAATCAGTCCTTAAGTATGGTTGCAGTTTAGGCCAAGAAACACATTTCCCTGGTCATCCTTCGTGGTAAATGTTAAGAGAAAATCTTCTGGAGCATGACGTGGGAGCAAGGTGCCAGTTTGGTCTCACTGAATTGCCTTCCAGTAGTATCTCTGTCTTGCCATCAAATGTGTAAAGAATATGGAAATGCCAACCTGTGTGAATAGCCTTGCCCCGTAGCACATTGTAATGAATGTCTTGAAATTAAAAAAAAACCTCCTAGAATTATCCTATGAAAACAATTTATGCTATGACAGTCCATTTCCAGTCTATCAGCTGCTTTAAAATGTAAAATTTTAGAGAAGAATGATGTGTAAGTGTCTTGTTCCAAGTTAGTTTGTGGCATTTCTAAGTACTTTCTTCCAGTCAATTTTAAGAAAGAAATATTTTCTTAAGAGAAGAGAGGGTCTTGAACATCTGCTATGTTAGCCTTGGGGGAACCTCCTATCAACTCGCTATCAACTTTTCTTTCATTTGTACTGTGTACAAATGTAGAACAGAATTGGAAAGCAAAAGTAATTCTTGCTCTATAAAGTAGCCTAAATTGTCCCATAACAGAAAGTACCAGCCATGCATAATGTAAACACATTGGTGCTATGGAATCTATGCTGTCAATCTTGACAGCTGTGTTAAGTCAGTTGGAAAAGTGAGTTTTCTGCACATATAGATTTCACCTCCACAGTTCTTTTAAGTGCATTTGTTATGGTAATTATCATGAGTAAGAATAGTTAGTTACCTCTTTGCTATTCCAGTGCTGCATTTGATTTATTTAACAGATACTAGTTCCCATTGAAGCTCTGTGGCATAAAGTATAACAGCATACAGTTTGCTTTGTGAATCAAAATGCTGGTCTGTGTGGCGATGTCCTTCCTGTACCTGACCTATACCAAATCCTAGATGTGGTTTCACCGTGTGTTTCCACCTTCCATCTTATTTCTGACACATAATTGCAAGAAGCAATCCAGGGGACTCTTGTCAGATGGTGCATTGTGTAAACATGATCGTGTCAAGTAAATTCTCTTTCAAAGTACAAAGCACTTGGCTTTAGGATTCCTTCTGTCTTAAAAATACGCATAGCAACTGAAATGCTTGAATACAAACAGGAGTGAATTTCTGTTTCTCATGTCAATTTATGGCCAACTTCTGCCTGGGTGCAAGGAGCAGGGGAAAGTGTGCCAGTGCCCTTTGTGAGGCACAGTGGAGAATCTTTCAAAAACCAGTGGATTAAAAGAATGCAGGCGGGAGCTGTATGAGAGTAGGAACTTGAATCCAATGCTTGAATCCCATGCAGTTTAGTGCGTACCCGTTCTGGTTTTGCAGTTGTCTTATACTCAGGGGAGCCAGAATCCTATCTTGGTTGCACAGTATAAATCTGGTGCGTATCTGTGTGCTTCTCAGGAACTTTGCTGGCTGGCAAAGATCATTCCTTCAACTTTCGGTTGCCTGAGTTATCTGATCTTAGATGAATTTCAGCACTTGTTTATAGCATGCAGTTAACTTCTTGCCAGCAGCTAGCTTAGTGTTTCAGATTTTGAAGTATGCTCTGTGCTGCTCTGGTTGTGAGGCATAAGGTTTTCAGAGTGCGCTCTGAAGTGGTGCAGTTTATCTATACAGGTGAGCATTACACTGCTTTGTTATTTTACAGTTAATGTAGGCACGAATCTGCTCGTCAGGCGTATGCAAAGGGCTGTTCAAATTGGCAGTGCAATGGGAAGTTCTGTCCTTTCTGTTGCTTAACTATATAATGGGCAAATGATGAATTGGAGGGCTGTAATTCACTCTCTGCTACTGACTTGCACCATTTCATGGTGATTACACATGTACAGTGCTCTCAGCTGTGTTTTCAGTTAAGCAAATACCTTATTTCTGTCACAGCTGACACACAGCATTTGAAAAGTGCAGTCCTTATTAGTGGTGGTTCTTGCTGAATTTTGCTTACCAGGTAGGTAGCTTGGTCGGTCTGTCTGTCTCTCTCAACTATTTTAATAAGGGTGAAAAGTATGAAATTTCTTGAGTGTTGTATTTTGTACAGTGCACAAGTGCAAAATGGGATCTTTGGGGTTTTTTTCCCCCCACTTGACTGAAATCTTACTTATGGTTTCTCAATCAGTGTATGGCATGATTGTTTCTTCTGTTTTGTGGAGTGCTGAATATCCTGGAATTTTCTGTGCTTGAAGCTGACAGCCTAGAATAGTGTAGTGTCCTCTTTCTAAGCTATTTTCTGTCATGTTAAATTTTATAAGCAGCTTTGGAAGAATTATGTATTTCCAAGACAAGAAAATGTGAAAGTGAGATATACAGCACATGCTTCAGTTTCATTTGGAATACTGAAAATAATGATTAAATATTTTAAAAGTATACGGTATGAATTTTAAACATACAGTTGTGTTTGGAAATAGTTTGCTGTTCATTGATCTGTCTGGTACATGCTTATTGTAGCTTCTGCATGATTCATCTTTGTAATTATTCTACTCTAAAATAGCTTTTTTTCCTTAATTTTTAAAGTTGAAAGTTGATTTTCAAAAAAAAGAACTTTGATAAATTAAATTCTATTTCTAGTACATTTTAAAATTAAAAACAAGTATCTTGTTTATAAATAAGATTCCCTAGAATATGTTCTATTTCTGTTCTGTATTTCAGCTCTCTAAGATCCTCCTAAAGCTGCTGCAGCCAAATTACCATTTTGCCTGTCTTATATTATCTTTTTTGCTTTAAAACCAATAACATAAATTTGTATTTTCTTTTCTTACAATTGCATATTTATTCTGGCTGAATACAAGTTGCATCATACCACTGAAATACACTATAATTTCTCTGTAACAAAATGGATCACATTCTTAATGAGCTGTTCACTGTGAGCATCTGCTTGAAGATGAAAATAATTGCTTCCAGATGTTACCATTTCAAGAGAGGACATTTAGTTTAAACGGCACTTTCTTTCAAAGCAAAAGTTAGACTCTAGATGCAAGAGAAATTGTCAGCTGTTTTAAATCAGTGTAGCTCCATTGAAAACAAACTAGGGATAGTTAGCTATTTTGTCTATTTTAAGGCAAGAGTTTTATGCCAGTTTACACTAGCTGAGGATCTGATTCTCCAGCTTCAGAGAAAACTGTAAAATTTTGTTTGGGTTGATTAAAAAAAAAAAAGCAGCTGCCTTCATGCTTACTTATACCAGGTAGCACCTTAGTGTTTACATGGAGCTACTGAACTCAGAATGAGAGGAGTGAGGTATTACTCTCCATTGCATAACTAAAGTGTAATTTGGGAGTCTATAGAAAAAGTAAGGAGTAATGCCAGATGGTGCACTCAAAGGATAGATCTTTTGTTAAAAATCTCTAGAGGGATGCTGTGTCTCCTTGCCTTATTAAGAAATCTTCCTGTTGTATCATGGAATACCATGTCAGTGTCAAAAAAAATTCTAAATGTTGTTTCAGTTCAGCAGTGAATAGAGTCTGTCCATGGGGCCAAAGTCACCTCATCCTGCTAGCCTTTCTGATGTTCAGTGGTCTTATTTCATTTCAAAGTTCTCATTTATAGGTATATCTTAATATGCAAAAGTCTGCTATGTTAACAGCTGTACAGAGCCTGTTCCAGTCTGGACTGGAATGTGCCTCTGGAACTTGTGCAAATTAGTGTTTTTCTGGAAGATAGAGGAGTTAGTTGTAATTTTAGTTGTAATTTGTAATCACCTTTGTAGAAAGCAGCTATTACTGAGATTTCGTTAGGTGACTGCCTCTTAGAGTTTCTCAGTTAAAAAAGTCAGTGCGCTATCTTTTCCCGATTAGTGCTTGATTTATTTCATTCAGAGAAAAAAAAACAAACTATGAGGCTACATTTCTGTTTACTTTCTCATCCATACACAAATATCATTGTCA